ACAGTGTTCTTCTTTGGGGGGGGAAATGGGAGGAAGATGCACTGCATACCTTCCTTGAGGTCTTGAATGAAAGAGTGGACAACAAATGTTAACAGATGAATAAATAAGGAGGGCAGCAAAGGTTCTGCATTGCTTGGTGACTTTTCAACAGTCTGCTCTGGCCCGTCTAAAGAGGTTGAGTGCGAGGGCAGAGTATTAGAGAAACCCCTCCAGGAAGTAAAAGTGCTCAAACAGAGTTGGAGCAGCACAAAGGACTTCACAAGCTTGATAATGTCCTTTCTAGTTCATTTCAGGGCCAGCTGCTACCCAGGCCTACTGTTTGCACAAGTTTGCAAGCAAATCCTGGGAGGTTCAACTGTTTGATAGGTTGATTACGTGCCATCAAGTCGTTGTCGACTCTTAGTGACCACATAGATAGGTTTTCTCCATGTTGATCTGTCCCTAACCTGGTCCTTCAGCTCTTCCAACCGTACACCCATTGCCACTGTAAAGAAGTCTTGCTGCTGGTCCTCCGCTGCTTCTCTTTTCTTCCACCTTTCCCAGATTTACAGCCTTTTCCAGAGAGCTAGGTCTTCGCATAATGTGTCCGAAGTAGGATAACTCTAGTCTGGTCATTTGTGCCTCAATGGGGCTGAATCAAGTTATCCAGCTCTTCCCGCTCCCCACCCGCAACCATTCCTGGTAGGCCGGTACAACACTGTCTTTTTCTTGCTGGGCATAGCCATGAGCAGGAATGTCAGGGGATGGAAATTGTATTTGGTTAACGTTTTGGTAAAGGGATTTCAAAGTTTACAAGGCACAGCAAATGCATGCAATTTTGAAAAGGGGGGCAGGAGAGTCCACAGAACTCACAGACCTTGGCATGGATGATCTTTCTGCTGATCTTTTGCTTCCTCCTTTTTTTTTTTCTTTGCAGGATTGCCCCTCTCCCTCCAGAATGGGCTCTATTGTCCTGGTGCTTTTGGTATTTTTACTGAGGACAGCACTGAACATGAAGTTAAATGCAGAGGAACTGAAACTATGTGCCTTGATCTCGTGGGATACAGACAAGAACATTGTAATTATTTTTTTTAATTTGATTGTGGGTTGCAGCAATCATGCAAAGCATGATGCCATTGATGGGAGATTTACAGACAAATGCTCAGAGTCCCCCAAAGCAGAATAGAAATGGGGCCCAAGAAGGGCCCTGCTCATTTGCAACCTTTGGTAGCAAGAGAAATAATAACGTTTTTTTTCAAAGGTGAAAATGCACCAGCCACTAAGTCCAAAGTCTAAAATTCCACCACTATGTGTGGTATTCATTTATGTAAT